TTTTTGTAAATAACTATCTATTAAAATAACATTTCTTTCATTAACATCATATAATAGATCTATTGTATCATTTAAATAATGATATTTAAAACCACCATTATATTCATAAAAAGTTGATCGAATATGAAATTCGATCCAAGACAAAATATTATTTAATCTCTTGTTTTGTGTGTTTTCAAAGATTTCTAAACTATAATTTATTAAATTATTTTCAATTAAATAGTCTTTAAACTCTTTATAACTTGTAAAAATAATAAAATCATTAATTTTAATTTCCGAGAATTGTTTCTCTTCTTCAATTATTGGTAAGGGAGATTCATAAGAATCTTTTTCATCAATGATTGAATAAGGTGACCAATTGATATCATATTGAATACTATCAGACCAATCATCATAATATATTTTTGATTTTCTGATAAATTTAGATTTTACTTTTTTAATAATGTTTTTAAAAAATTTCATTTTTTTTTTGACAATCGATAAAAATTTTGGATTGTCTTGTGTCATATGCAGGTTGATTATTAAATACTTTTAGTATTTTCATAACATCTTGATTTGTACATATTAAAAAGAACGATTTGAAATTGGTATTCCGTAAACAAAAGCGTCTGCCCCAAATGTTGGAAATAGAACAAAAACATAGAATTCTTGATCATCACGATAAATACCAAATAAAGATAATAACATTAATAATATTTCATAATTATATCACAATTTAAAATCATTTCTTATCATTTTAATCTTTTCATTTATTTAATAAATCATATAAATAATTAATCGAATCAAAACATAAATAACTATAAAATTTTATATTCATAATTTTTACATATCATATAAAATATAAAAAAACTTAATAGAAATCAAATATAAAAAAATTATTTAAATTCGATTTTGCATCTTCCATTAATTTCAATTTTGTTATGATCAACTTTCATTTTAAAGGTTTTATCATCATAAACTTCAATGCTTTTAATATTTTTAACAATACTAAATTCTTCAATTGAAGTGTTATTTTCTTCAATTTCAATATCTTGATTTATTTGATTGTCTGATTGTGTAACCTCATTTTCATAATTAGATTCATTATCGAATATCGATGGAGTGAAAATTTCTTCTTCATATCGATAAACTTCTTTCTGTTTTCGTTTTTCCTTTCCTCCCATTTTTGTATTTCTTCTAATATTTATCCATAAATCTTTATGTTTATTCATAAAATGATTTTTTAACACTGTTTCAACTGTTGTATTTGGGTAGGAATGAGTACATTCTAAACAAACAAAAGAATTGGTATTATCATTAGAACAAAAATAGTTCCA